TGTTTTGGTTTTCTACAGAATCCAACAAATATAAATCTTGCTTTTGTTTACAACCGTCTTTCATGATTGAATATTTTTTTCTTTCTGTTTTCATGTTGTTTGATTAATTGTATCATCCAATTCTTTGTTTCCATGTATATTAGTAAGCCTATAGTAGTTGTCTTTTATAATAATTCTAGCTGAATAAGACTCTTTTCACCTTCTTTACGGTGTATGTAGAGACGGTCTGCATTAGATTTGAGTATTATTATTATTATTAATAATAATAATAATCAAAGCTAACAATTCAAACCTAATGATCAAAGACCACAAAAACAAAATGTGCTTTCTTACTGACATGCCAATTTATGAATAAAGACAAAAGGGAAACTTAACTTAGCCAACACGTTTTGTCCTCTGAGGGACTTTATCAAGGCAAATGCTTTTGAAGATCATAAAAAATACAATGATGTAGAAGTGGAAATTTCCAGAATGTAGCAGATGAAGACATCAGGATCTCCTGTTGTAGTTTGATTAGAAAAAAGGTTCTGATGGCGATCACAAGCAACCCATGTCTTAACGAAATACAAAAAAAATTGTTCTTACAAGCACAGCTTACATTCTATGAAAGGCTTTATCAAGGCAAAATTTATATTTGTAGTCCCTATTTTTAGTTCTTTTTTATACAAGAGAAATGTATTGATTCCATTTCTGATATTGATCTGTGCTTGTCATCAAACCTGATACTGATCTGATATCTCGGCTTCAGTCACTTTACAACGCCGTAATGTAGCTTCTCTTTGCCTTTTCTGTAAATACTTTCCCGTTAATTGGTCTGATAAACTTTCCTCTTTGGTACTTAGACTTAAGGTAAGTAATCAATGAGTGAATAATAATAATAATAATAATAATAATAATAATAATAATAATAATAATAGAGGCTAGGCTTTGTTGTAAAAGGTCATTTTAAAAGTTTTATGACCATAAAACATAACATATATTATAAGTATTAATGATAGCAATAAAGATTTGTATGTAGTTGGTGTCATTATTTCCATTTTCAAATGCAAATACCAATGCATTTCTTATTCTATATAACCAGTTAAAGAGGTACAAAACTTCGATAAAAATAAAATCTTATGGGCCATTTAATTTACACTACGGCGATTTAAATGGAGTCGAAGAATAGTATTGACTGCCTATGACACAGGTGTTCATTTTCATAAAAGAGACAACCACTAATATATACAACCTAGTGCTAAAATGGCTTCAGCCTAACCAGGAGAAAAAGCATAAAATTGCTATTTGGTCAGTTTATTGATTCATTCATTTTTCTACGATTTATCAACACTTTCCAGGATATTTAAAGCCAGAAATTATATTTAGATTGTAATGATTTCTTTGTTTGATATAATAAAGGTTTAGCGATACAGGTCTAATTAACCCATAGTTAGGGGAACAAGAGGTGGATCCACAGGTTCCGCAAGGCTATCTGCACGTAAGTAGATATAACGAACGTAACTGGAATTGGAATTCGGCTCTCTAATAAACAATTCCGAGGCAAAGCTTACAACACTTGGAATTTCCCGGCAGTTACCCATCTAGATACTGACCAGGCTCAACGGGAATCAGAGTTTTAACGTGATGTGGTCAGTGTTGCAGTTTTTTGTGTATATATATATATATATATATATATATATAACTAGTGAGTTAGTCCAAATGCCTTGACTCGCTTTATAGTCTACCAATAGAAGGTTAACCAATCAGAAGACGTAGAATATTCAATCCGTCGTGTATAAAGGCGGCCATTTTTGTTCACTCTACCCGCATGTCCAGTCCAGCTTGTCAGGCAAAGAGAACCAGAAGGACGAACTATGCTCTGCTACTTTTATCGAAATATCCACTGCTAACCTGAACAGCGCTTTCCTACTGTCTTCGAAATATTCACTGCTAACCTCTGGATTCTATACTCGAAGACGACCGTCATGATGAATAACAGTCAGTTTAGGTGAAGTCGATATGGCCTAAAATCTTTCAGCAACCACTACATATATATATATATATATATATATATATATATATATATATATATATATATATAAGGCTCAACACTAATTTTCCATGGTTATATTACATTGGAATCGTAATCACGAACCAATTCACCAGACCTACAAATTCAAAAAGAAATCGGAAAATATAACTCCGGGTATAAAAAAAAAACAAAATATCAGTGAGAGTGTATGTGTGGGAGTGGGAAACAAGTACACACATGCACACAAACAGACACACATACACACATACACACACACTCACTCACACAGGGTGCGATAGATAATTTGTAGTCTACATAATGCAAAAATAAAAATAACACTGACATTTCATTTTAACAGATACATATTACCAAAATTACACAAAAATAGCTTGAAATAGTAAAAAGTAAATTAATTCAATAAAATTGCCATTAGCTTCAACCACTGCCTCTAGACGACCTTGGAATCTCAAGCAACTTTACGGGATCGTTTCCTTTTTTAAGTTGGTGAATGTTACCATAATTCTTTCTTTTAATTCATCTTTGGTGTTACAAGGAGTTTTGTTGGTCTCTCACTCAACTGCACCTCACCCATAATAATCACAGGGTTTGCAGTTTGGGGAGTTAGGTGGCCAGGTGTAAGGGGTGATGTGGTCACAGAAATTATCTGACAGCCATGACTGTGTTCTCTTGTTTGTGTGGCATAGTGCAGAGTTCTGTTGCCAGACATAGTGTCTTCCAGCAGCCACCCTCTTGATCTAGGGGAAATTTCCAAATTTCTGGTGGAGTGAATTGCGTCATGATGCTGTTTTTCTCACAGACGGTGCCCAACTGACCCTACTATACTAGGCAGGCGTTAAAATAAAAAACAATCAACACGCATGCGCGAAATTAAAATATAAGATGGCGGTAATTTACCCATCGCAACCTGTGCGTTTACATATATATATATATATATATATATATATATATATATATATATAGAGAGAGAGAGAGAGAGAGAGAGGAGAAGGGGAGAGAGACAGAACTCGAGGAATGAGAAGGGGATAGAGAGAAAGTGAGGAATGTATTTATGTATTATCTATATACCGTATATACTCGTGTATAAGCCCACTTCACGTACTCAGCGACCCCTGGATTTTGTTTTTGAAAATCCTGTTCGTGTGTAATGCGAACCAAGCTACTGAGCAATAACAGTAGGCCTACTCTAATCAAATATTGCTTTAGTGTGCATCATCCTGGACCTATTTTATGGGAAATAAATGCTCTTCATTCTCTTTTGTACAAAGCTACTCCAAAATGATGAAAAACAACACTTACCATAAAATATCTGATACGAAGATGTATATAATGTATTTTTGGTTTCGTTCATGTCTGACTATGGTAGCTCTTTTACGCTGGGCCTTCCTCTTTGGTTGTTTAAGTTTCTTCCATCTGTCACTACATGTAGTCCAAAACCACATGTACTATGGATATCACTTAAATACAACAAATATATACATTGGAATCCGCTTAAAATGTAAAATGAATCTACTTCAATCTATGTTTCTTTATATTCAATAAATCAAGAAAAGTTCAAGTCATTTATCTGATTGACCGACTCAGAAGTTTCGCGGCGAAATGCTCATCAAGGTCAGATATTTGAAAAATCAGATTTTATATATATATATATATATATATATATATATATATATATATATATAGAGAGAGAGAGAGAGAGAGAGAGAGGGTGTATGAAAATACGTTTACAGACTTTAAAGGTGGGTTCTTCACACTGATCAAGTACAAATGTCCATAAAAACTTATGTTCACAAATCCTTTACTTTTGAGTTAAGTATAAGGTTTATGCTTCGTGTATAGGTCGACCGTTGAATTTTGATCAAGGAAATTAATTTATGATGTACTACCATTGTTTTTTTTTTTTTTTTTTTTTTGCCAACAAAACTCGTGTACAGGTCGACTCAAATTTTGAAACTAATAGAACTGGAGATGAAAGAAACAACGCACCATATTTGGTAGTATATAAAATTCTTTTCAAGGAATTCGTATCTAAAATCCCCCTACGTCTTAAAAAAAAACTCAGAATTTGAAGGAATTTGAAGCGCTGAGCAAATATGTTTACCGTTTATTATTATGTCATCTTGATAGAAGTACAGGTGGTTTGGCGGTTAATGTTTAAGATAAAATGGAATAGGCGAAACGAGTTCAAATTCTAGTTGTAACTGTTTATCTTCATTTCGTACTTATGGCCTTGAAAAGGGCATGAATCCATGTCCCCCTCTCTCTATGAGTAAATACTTGGGTAGTTGGAGTTCTTTTAAGAAATTTGAATTGGTGGTCGTGCTAGCAAACCCCGTAAAATACCTGGTTACAGAAACTGTATCATTCGCACTTGACGTGACTGCAAATCAATGCGCCCTTAATAATCTAGTCCATTTCTTAGAGAGGTGACTTTCTCTATGGTCATTTTCCTAGCGTGCGTAACCTACGGGACGTCCCTCAAAGCCACTACCATGAGTTGAACCAAACCTTGTGAATGAGTGAAATTGGGTAGACGAAACTTTTCAAAATCCGTCGATAGTTGTGCTAGCACGAAATTGCAAGTCATCGTGACCGAGAGCTTGAACGTAGTGAAACTCATTCAAACTTTTGATCACGATTATGCACACTCTCACAGAAACTGTAACTAAGGTCTGCTCAGGATAGTTGTAGTATAAACCACAGTTGGGCTTTGTGAGCGTTGAACAAACAAATGTACCTGAGTAGGCCGTTGCAACAATGATTAGCTATTCAACTGTAAAAGGATGAGACCTAACTTTCAATGTAGTACTGCGCTTAAATTCGTGAAATTTATCAAATGGAAACCTCATCAGAACAATTGTTATGAAAATATTTATAGAAAAATCCCTCGGATACGAGCGGTCAGTCATACATTTATTCAAGATAGCATAGAATAATATTAAAATAAAGAAGGTCTTTTTCTAACTGTTGAATGCATTTAATGCCTGAAGGTAAGGTAACAGTTGTTTCTTGCTCGTAACATCCGGCATTGTTATCAAATATCGAAAACGCCTTTTCCTTCTCAAGTGCCAAGTCCTTTCAGAACAGACGCGGTCATGGCTCTTCACAGCTTCGAAAACAATTACTTGTCTACAAAAATCGATAGATTTTTGTTTATTTTAGTGATATAACCCCATGCAAGGAAGTAAAGCCACTAAGACACAAGGGGTTACTGAGTGTGAAAGAACAAGGAAAAAGCCCAGGAATTGAGAACAATAAAAGAAGAGTAATGAATAAGGCATTAGATAACGATTGACATTGCAATTAAATTTATGAAGATCAAACTTGACTGTAAAGCAAAAAGCAGGAAGAGAGTTCCACAAGCGAGAAGTGCGATAGAAGAAACTGTTAGAATAGAACTAACGGTTACATCTAACCAATTCAACTGTGAATTGATGAGAGCTTGCCGCCAATCTAGTATTGCACTTAAATTCATAAAATCTAGGTACCATAGCGAAGAATTCACCGGAACAATTTCCATGAAAATGTTTATAGAAAGACACAGAGAAAGCCGAGACGCTATGTCAGGAGCAATAATATTGCTGATCCTTGTTTTGATTTTATCAAGAATATCTAAATATACAGAAGAAGTATCGGGCCAGATGTGACAGCAATATCTGAAGCATGAATGAATGATCAGTCAGTTATGTGCCATGCATGATACACGTGTAGGCGATCATCTATCTTTCGATACATGACTGACGAAGCAGATTTTTTCCACGCTGTAGGTTGCCATTTCTTTCTGCGGTAAACCAGTTGCCATCCAAGGCTATAGAACTTGGTTTGTCCTGTTATTTACCCATAGCTGGCGATGGGGGAGGGAGAAGAAGAAGATTCATACTTTTCTGTTGTGGTAGGATCCACCTAATTTGCATAGTGGAGTACCGACCATATAAATATGGTTTGTACCGGGAAGACGGGGGAAGGAATCAAGAGATTCAATCCAGAGACTCTGCCCGACTGCGACTAAATCAACACATTCTCCAGGAACGGTCTTCCCAGAAATATACAAAAGACTATATGTAAATATTGTGTACACTTTCTTGTTTCAATACATTTTGTTCTAAGTACATTTTGTGTTGTATTATTATTCCATGCATTAGTCAAGTTTCAACAGTTTCCCAAGTGCATTAGCACGTAAGTGAATGTAATGAATTCGACTGGAATTCGAACTCGGCTCTCCGATTCCTCAATCCGAGCCGCTATCCATTGAGGAATCGGAGAGCCGAGTTCGAATTCCAGTCGAATCCATTATATTCACAAATGGTAGAACGAATAGTAGGCTTCTAAATATGCAAGATTCTGAAGAGAAAAATTGTCTAGCACAACAAATGGACCGATTTTCTTAGGAGCAGATCGAGCAATGGATTCTGCATTGTCTTCCCACTTCATTATATTAAACCGAGAAGTCTCTCTCATTGTGGTTAGCATCATTTACATTGACAGAAGTCAAGAAGGGATCTTTTAGGGGTTTAATAGAGAGAGATTTCGTTTTGGAGGCGTCAAAATTTTCAAGACTCTTCTTTCCCTAGTTAACAACAAACTGTTAGCTTTTAACTTTTAAAAACTTATTTTAAAACCTGACTTTTAGACGGTGTATGTTGCATTATTATATGGTAAATTATATTATTAAAAATGATTGTATGATAGCGTCACACCAATTACAGTTTTACACTTGATTAAATACTTAATACGAATAAGCGAATTTATGTCTCGAAATTCACCTCTGACTCACATGAACCAGGTCTGTGCACACACCACTGAGGGCGTCAAGTCGCGCAGCTCAACTAAAAAAATAAAACCTCAAAATTATTTTGCACGCTTTCCTTTTTGAACTAGCTTATATTTACGCAGCGTCAAATTGCTAACAGCTGTCTGATTAAAAAAGGAAAAAAAAGTAGAGGCTAGGAATCATTTATTTTTAATATTCGAAAATGATTATAATTTAATCTGTCAAGTTTGACAATGATTGAAACAGCTATTTTATGTCATTACTGCTTAGGTGAATTAATAATAAATAGACTGAGATAGCAAGATAAATTCATTCAGCCATCAAACGCAAACCCGAAAACAAAAATACAGAAAAAACTTCACCAATCTTAACTGTATGTAAAAAGAAAAAATATAAGCAGTAAATTGCTGATATCCCCTGAAGAGTGGACAGACATTTTCCCCTGCGAAACTCTGGAGTCGGGATGCTGAAGGTAACATCAATCAGCTAAGTGACAAACTTTTACACACACACACACACACACACACACACACACACACACACACACACACACACACACACACACATATTCAGACATATATAGTTAAATACAACAGACAACGAATGTCTACTATGTTTGATCATGAGCCGTTCTAAGTTTCGTATAGTGGCATTAGTTTCGGGAGAAAATAAAACCAAAATCTGTCCAACGTTTGGATATTTTTTATTATGCTGTTCCACGATCTAAGCTTTCGGCTCACATGAGCCATCATCAGGAGTGGTTATAATGAATATTACAACAGAGATGTTCACTATCAAAGTTGACATCCTGTTATATATATATATATATATATATATATATATATATATATATATATATATATATTTTGTAACCGGCGCCAGCAATCAGTAATCGAATCCGGCTAAAAATTCGCAAACTTATTTCCAAGATAGACAAGCTTTTTCCTTTTGAAAATTGGCGCGATATAATATTTCTACTTATATTTTTTTTATTTGACCTTTTTTATCTATCTATCTATCTATCTATCTATCTATCTATCTATCTATCTGTCCTAAATTTTGAAATGAACGTCAGTTCACACGTTATTTGTGTAGAACAGATTTTAACGGCATGTAGTTAAAATGACATTACAATTTAAATATTGTCAACAATACAATAACAGTCCGTTGACAATCCAACTGCGAAAAAAAAAATCAGTTGCACAAGTGCTAAAATTTCTTTAAACTGCCATGTCATTTTATCCATGTGACGATAAGCTCTATCCCACGGCCATAGCAAAACTCAGGATTGTTATATATTTTGTTATACGTTATTTATATAGACACAAATATCTAAGCAAATTCTCTGTTTATAATAAACAGTATTAGCAGCATTTACCGGCCTGAATGTCCGTGAAATATAGAAATTATGTGTCCTCCGACATGAATCGGACATGTATCTGACATAGAACCGTTATATAGCCTGACATACTGTATCAGTTTAGCTACGAAGAAAGCGACTGGTTAGCAAGATCGATTTACTGTTTTTAAACTACAAATTTCATCGGTTCGATTCCCATCGGAGGACGCATATTTTCTATGAAATTTCTCGGACATTCAAGCCGGTATATGTTGTTAATATTGTTTATTATAAACAGAGCATTTACTTAAATATATGTGTCTATATAAATAACGTATAATATTAAAATAATTGTCGGACGTAGTCCATTTTATATATATAAAAAAAAACTTTTTGAAATCGTTACACAAAAGCTTTCATGTTTTAATACTATGATTGTATTTCTTCAAGCGATGGTAAGTAACTAGTGATTAAATGATTTTTCAGGAAATTTAAAAACAAAGTGTTACCTCTTTTCCGAAAGTTAAAACGGGGTGACGGGGACATAAGGTCAGAATTAAAAATAGATTTATGGGTATGTCATGATTAACAAATTAAATGTTAGATTTACGATAAATAGAAAAGTAAGGTCAGAGTGTGGAGGTGGGTGAGTTATTTTTCGTGTCACGATAAACCACGATGTATATTTCGTTGAATATGACAGAAAAGAAAAATTTGATGAAATTTTATTCTGTTTTTCTTAGTATTCTTCTTGTTTTTTTTTGTTCCGTTTGGTGGTGGTGTTACGGGAGTGTAACAACAATTGTCCTCAGTTCTTTTCGATCGTTTCTTTAAACTTTTTCAAGAGGTTTGCTGTTAATTGTTGTTAATTTCTTTTGAGTCAGTCAATTCTGTGTCATGCGTGATACACGCTTAGGCGATCATGTATCTTTCTATACATGACTGACGAGGCAGATTTTTTCCCAAAATAGGTTGCCATTTCTTTCTGCGGTTTCTTTTCCCGGTTCTCATTGGAGATGCAATTGAGAGATGCTTGTTAGATGATCACGTTTATTCCGTGTCCAGCGAAAGGAACGTGGCAGAAATTCAAGTTGGTGTAAAAGAATCTTTATCATATTATTTCCGTAGTTAAAAAAGTAAGATTAATACTGAGTGCTAGATATTTTACATACAAATTCATCAAATTTTTTTTTGTCTGTCATATTCAACGCGACATGTTTGAAAGAAAGGTTGCTTCCCAAATAAACATTATATATATATATATATATATGAAGAAAAATATATACGGAAAAAACAAACAAAAATCCTTATATCCAATTATGCTGTTTTAATGTTAATATGTCAACGTCGGACGTTTCGGTCTAATAAACCATCTTCAGGACATATTCATAAATTATAACATTATCAATACAACATGACAAAGACGATGTACATAAGAAAAAGACTTATCCATCGTCCATATTAACATTAAAACAGCATGATTGTATATAAGGATTTTTTTGTTTTTTCCGTATATATTTTTCCATACTGTCGGATTTATATCCATATATTTATATATATTATATATATATATATATATATATATATATATATATATATATATCCTAGTGAATAATCCCTAGGAGATACTAAACTGAATATCCAGATAATACACACACACACACACACACACACACACACACACACACACACACACACACACATACACACACATATATGTGTATATATGCACACACACACACGCATATATATATATATATATATATATATATATATATATATATATATATATATATATATAAATTATAAATTAAAAAAATATGATTCCATCGCGATACAGAAATTACTATGTTGACTTTTACTCTAGTCCCAAAGTTTAATTTTAATATTAAACTTAAAATATGTATGAATTATATGCACACACACACACACACACACACACACACACACACACACACACACACACACACACATATATATATATATATACATGAGCAACAATCTTTCTTGTATACATGTTTCATTGAATATGAGAGATAAAGAAATCCTCATAAGTTTTTAAAAATTTTTCTAAGAGCATTAGAAAAGACTAATATGATGTTCCTTGTCTGTGATACTTAATGAAACATGTATAAAAGAATGATCGATGCTAATATATATATATATATATATATATAGATAGATACACCTAGTGAGCCAGACAAACCTACCTAGGTTTCACCTAAACGGTTCGTCAGTATGTTTATATGTATATATATATATATATATATATATATATATATATATAATATATATATTTAAAGTTATTTATGTGCATATTTGTATAAAAAGAGATGGATTTGTAATAACAAATGAAGGTAATTTTAACTGCCGTTTGAACAAATATTTCCTTTTCGAAAATGTTTCTGCCGTAAGGAACTGAAGTTAGCCGGTTGTTGAACCGTATATCTTTTAGCAACATGCCAGTTCATTTGACTATTGAGCTCAAGAGAGTTAATTTGTGCAATAAATGCACCAGTAAACTGTAATTAACTTTGGATTGCTTCCCACCGCCTGACAAGTGTCCGCGTATTCGGTGAAAAGAGAGGTCGATGAATAAATAATTTTAATTGGCCAAATACAGCGCTTGTCCAGAAATTTTCATTCCTTCTCTCTCTCTTTCTCTCTCTCTCTTTCTCTCTCTCTCTCTCTCTCTCTCTACGCCTCTCTTTTCCGTCTTTTTTTTCTTTTCTTTATTCTACTATATTTCTCTTTCTTTACTCATCCTCTCTTTTTTTCTTTCTCTGTGTGTATATTCCTTTTCTTACACTTTTCTTACATCCTCTTTGTTTATTCTCTCTTTTCTCTTTCTTCATTCCCTTTCTTTCTCTTTTTCTCTTTCCTTATTTCTCATTACTCTTTCTTATTTTGTTTTCTCATTTTAATCTCACCCCGTCGTTCTTCTTGTCTTTCTTTTTCTTTACTCTTCTCTTCTTTTATCTTCTCTTTCTCTGTGTGTATATTCCTTCTCTTACACTGTCTTCTTAGTTTATTCTCTCTTTGTTATCCCTCCCTTTCTTTATTCCATCGCATTCTCTTCTTTGTTTTTTTTTCCTTATTTCTTATATGTCTTAAAAACTTCCTTTTCATTCTCTCTTTCTTTCGTTTTTCGCTGGTTTTTTCCCCACCCATTCTGTCTTTCTCTTCACATCCCATCTTTCTTTTTTCGCCCTGTTTATATTCCTTCTTTTCACTTTTCTTACTTACTTTTTTGTTTCTTCTCTGTCTTCTTTTTTCTCTTTCTTCTCTCTTTTCCTTACTCCTTATTTTTCGTCACCCTCTTTCTTTCTTCGTCTTCCCATTGTAATTCATTCTCTCTCTCTCTCTCTCTCACTCTCCCTTTTATTGGTTATTCACTGTCTCAGTCATTATCATTTTTCTTTGTTTTGCTGTAACTGAGAAAAAGTTGCTAAGGAGAAAACGTTGCTGAGAGAAAGGGCAAACAAGATAACAGGCCACAGGGAGAATTTACATTATTGAAGATCGTAGTTGACAGGATAGCAAGAAGCCGGAAGAATGTTCCACATGTGAGAAGTGCGAGAGAAGAAACTAAAAGAATCGAACTTACGGTAGCACTTATCAACATCAATCTATCTACGAATGTAGTACTGCGCTTAACCAAAAGCTCAGAACAATTATGAAAATATTTATAGAAAAAGTTCAGGGAAGCTACATTACGGCGGTGGGAAAAAGCGATTGAAGCCGAGATGCCAAGTCAGAACCAATGTCATTGCAGATTCTTCTTTAGATTTTGTTAAGAGTCTCTAGATAGAGAAGCGCCAGATCATATGTGGCAACAATATTAAATGCACGGACGAATAGTAGACAGCGAGATAGATTCAGGTGAGAAAAATTATCGAGCATGACACAGTGAAGGAACATTCTTAGCAGAAGACTTAACAGGTGACACTATATAACCGTCTCAATTCATAGAAGTGGAATGTACTAAACGGAGATGGCCTATATGCACGTATAAAGACATATATATATATATATATATATATATATATATATATATATATATATATATATATGTGTGTGTGTGTGTGTGTGTGTGTGTGTGTGGTGTGTGCGTGCGTGCGTATTTGTATCTATTTATAGAATATACCTAATATCTTATTCTAAATATATATACATATATATATATGTTTAATCTATCTATCTATCTATCTATCTATCTATCTATCTATCTATCTATCTAATCTCTCAGGTTCTTCCTATCTCTCTATCTATCTATCTATTTATCTATCTATAATATACATACATATTAATGTTCGAATGTTTGTTCTAATTTCTGGTGAAAATAAAGACAAAAATTTTCCAATAAACACACACACTTATATATATATATATATATATATATATATATATATATATATATATATATCAAATATGTGGTGCAGTTCAATTTATATTACAATGAATCATTCATACAAAAAGTAAATTAGTAAAGTTAATGATATAAAATGGCGAAATCCCTTCGCTAACAAAATTTTAAAGAAGCATTAACCTACTAATCACTTGATGAATGTTATGATCCTTGTTTTTTTTTAATTTATAAGCTGTATAAGGTTTAATACGCAAGTACTTTCGACTGTACATTCACTCATCTTCAGTCATGGAAATTTTGTTTTTGGTAAAATTCAGGTAGCATACGAGACGAAAAAATATAATGCGAATTGAAATATTTTTTTTTTTTTTTGAAATGTGTTATTGATAAGGGATATAAACATGTGTAGCGTGCAGTCGCAACGCTAAGTTGAATTTTTTGTAAAATTTTATAACATTCATTGTTAGCGAAGTGATTTCGCCATTTTATATCATGAACTTTACTAATTTACTTTTTGTATGAATGATTCATTGTAATATATATATATATATATATATATATATATATATATATATATATATATATATATATAATTTGAAATTTCAATTTCATTCCTTTTTCATCGTGTGATTGTGTAGTCACATCACATTAGTCTGATGAAGTACTAAAAGACAAAATATATTTTACATTTTGTCATCGATTTTTCTAACATTATTCTGGTAGATAATAATTTATACATATTTTTTCATATATATATATATATATATATATATATATATATATATATATACGAGCGTACATATATATATATATATATATATATATATATATATATATATATTCCGGGTGTATTAGCCCGCACTATAAATTTTGATTTTGCAAATATGTTTTCGAAAAGATAGTTTCTAGTTTATTTTTAGTTTATCCATTAAAATTTAGTTTAATTCGATCAATATTATTATCGAAATATCACATAATTAATTATTGAAAATTCATATAATTAAATAGAGAAATTTAGAATTTATAAATGCGACTGGGATGTATAGGTGTGTTTATCTTTGTGGGGGTATTTGAATATGTTTGTGTGTGCGCACCTGCGCGTGTGTGTGAGTAATAAGGAGAAAGTATGTGTCACTATTCTTTAACCATATCTCATAATTTCTATATATAAATCAATTGATTCAAACCGAATCGTTGACTTCCGGGAATGTTTCTACTTAGAGAATAGTGTTTCGTTTTCTCAGAAATCCTAGGACATTCACCAATACAAAATAAATCAAAATAAACAACAACAACAACAGCAAAAAACAAAACAACAAAAAACAACGGAAAATATATTTTAAGAATCGCAAGGTGGCTTTGAAACATTCATTACACTGAAATTAAAAAAAAAATCAAAAAATCTATTTACTTCCCGTATGTAAGCATTTTCCTCAAATATGAAAAGAAAACTTGAAACGATTTCACAGAGACAGATCAGTCAGTCAGTCATGTGCCATGCGTGATACACGCTAACGCGATCATGTATCTTTCGATACGTGACTGACAAGGCAAATTTTTTTCCCTCAGTAGATTGCTATTTCTTTCTGCGATAGACCAGTTGCCATCCAAGGCTATATAACCCGATCTATCCAACTATTTTCCATAGCTGGGAGGAGAAGAAGAGGAGTCATACCTTTCCCAAGGGTATTAGCACTTAAGTGAATGTAATGGATTCGACTGGAATTCGAACTCGGCTCTCCGACAATAAAACGTTCATTTATACTTCTTCACATGGTAAATACACATAATGATGTCAGCTCTGATTCTTATATGTTCTCGAATAATTTAAATTTAATTTTGATTTAATAATTTAATCATTAGTGCTGAAACACTTTGCAAATCTGTTCCTGAAATAAATTTCAGTGATACGTTTTTCAACATATTGATGCATATTTTACAACAATTTGATATTCGTATTGGGGATTTTCCTTAAAGGACCGATAAATGTTGAATATCGTGCACTGGAAAAATTTCCTTTAGCATATACTGGAACAATTAGAAATCTCCATACCTTATAAAGAAAAGTGACACGGTCTACCTTCTCGGGCTAACGTTTTCAGCTGACATGAAATAGAAAGATTATATTGAATCCATTGCAAGGGAAACTGCTAAGAAATTTAGTTCACTGTGTCGTACGGGACAGTTTTTCTCTCCAGAATCTATCTTGCATATCTATAAGTCTACTTTTCGTCCATGCTTAGAATGTTGCTGCCACATCTGGCCCGGTGATTCTGCTCTATATCTAGAGAGCCTTGGTAAAATCCAGTGAAGAATCAGCAATATTATTGGTCCTGATCTGACGGTTCGGCTTCCGACTCTTTCCCACCGCCGTAAGGTTACCTCCCTGTGGCTTTTCCATGAAGAATTTAGACTGGCGATGAGGTCTCATTTATTTACCGTTGAGTTGGCTAGATGTAAACGTAAATTCTATGCTAACCGTTTCTTTTCCCGCACTTCCGCTTGTGGAAATCCCTGCCGGCTCCATGATTTCCAGTCAACTTTATTCTTAAAAATTTTAAATGCAATGTCAATCGCTATCTGCTGTTCACCTGATTACTCTTCTCGCTCCTTAATAATGTCTCTGTTTTCTAATATTCCACGCCCCGGTAATCCCTTGTCTCTTAGTGGCTTTACTGCCTTGCTTGAGGTGAATGCGATTATATATATATATATATATATATATATATATATATATATATATATATATATAAAGAGAGAGAGAGAATGACAACAAGGATAAATTTAAATACTTAATACATACACACACACATATATATATATATGCGTTTTTGTGTGTGTGTGTGTGTAATAAGGGAGAAGGGAGGTACGGTGGAGTAATGGATAGTGGCTCGGATTCGAGAGCTGAGTTCGAATTCCAATATGAATCCTCTTCTTCTCCCCTCCCCCCAGCTATGGGGTAAATAGCAGGACAGACCGGGTTCTATAGCCTTGCGTGGTAACTGCTCTACCACAGATAGAAATGGCAACCTAGAGCAGGAAAAAATCTGCCTCGTCAGTCATGTATCAAAACTGACTGAGTAGGAGAGAGAGAGAGAGACGTTTATATATATATATATATATATATATATATATATATATATATATATATATATATATATATATATATAGAAATTTGTGTATGTGCGTGCGTTTCTATGGTTTTTCGCTGTAATCATATATATTATTCAACGTTGATATTTTTACGATATACACGGTGCGATGGATAAATTGTCGTCTGAATTACGCAAAAAAAAATGAAAATAACACCAACATCTCATTTTAACAGATATATATTACCAAAATTACACAAAAGTAGCTTGAAATGCTAAAGAGTAAATTTATTCAATAAAATCGCCATTGACTTCAACCACGGCCTCCAGACGACTTCGGAATCTCCTGCAACTCTTCTGGGCGGTCTCTTTGTTTAAGTTGGTGAATGCTACCATAATACTTGCCTTCAGTTCATCTTTGGTGTTGCAAGGAGTTTTGTTAGTCTCTCGCTCAGCTGCACCTCACCCATAATAATCAAGGGTTTTGCATTTTGGGGAGTTAGGTCACCCAGATGTAAGGGGTGATGTGGTCGCAGAAATTGTCTGACTGCCATGACTAGGTTATCCTGCTTGTATGGCATGGTGCAGTGTCCTATTGCTAAACACAGGGTCTTCCAGCAGCCACTGTCTTGACCCAGGGCAGCATTACCTCCTCAAGGCACTTGATGTAGGCCTCCGTGTTGAGTCTGAGGCCCTCACCAACAAATTCGGGAATACTTTTCTTAACAGAAGGATCAGAGTTAATTTTCCGAGCTGCCGTACCTTCGTAATCACCATTAGACTCATCCAACTCTGAACTGTCTTCAGATTGACACCCAAACTCTTTGAAATATTCGTATTGGAGCTTCCGCTGCGAATGTTAAACATTACAGCATGCCGTTTCCAAATTTCTGGCCGAGTGAATTGCATCATGATGCTCTTTTTCTCACAGACGGTGCCCAACTGACCCTACTATACTGTGCAGTCGGCAAAATAAAACACAAACAACGCGCATGCTCAAAATTAAAATATTAAACGGTGGCAATTTTCCCATCGCACCCTGTACATAAAAGAGAAAATATATAAACATGGGTGGATCACTAAGTGCGTAACTTGAAATGTATTTATAATTTTCATCTGAAATTCTCACAAAATCATTCCAATCAATTTAAAATCAGTTCCAAAGACAACAAATTTTGCTTATTGGAAACATTAAGGCTATGTCGAAGGTCAGAGTCTGGAAACAGCTACCCGACTCCATTATTACAATTTTAACTGCGTATATCATTGAAACAAAAAACTAAGCCAAAACTACCAATTATCATTATCAATATTGACAGCTGTTCATTCAAGGATATTTTAAATAATCAATCACGTATTATTACAGACTGTTCTACTGGGGTGTGTGCCCGAATCTTGGTTGTTACTGTCACAACGTTTCGATTGAAGTGTTCTCCGGTCTTCTTCGGGTGTTGAAGTTAATTCTTCCTAAAGCAACACTACTCGAACAAGGCAATTCATTTAGCCATCATAGATAGATTAAAGATTTCGGTGTAAAGGATTCCAATAAAGATTAGGATAAAGGATTCGCATAAAAAATTCAGATAAAGGAATTGGATAAAGGATTCGGATTTAAGGATTCGAATAAAGATTCGGATAAAGGATTCGGATAAAGGGTTTGGATAAAGGATTAAAATAAGGATTCGGATAAAGGATTCGTATTTAAAGATTCGAATAAAGATTCGGATAGAAGATTCGGATAAAGGGTTTGGATAAAGGATTAAAATAAAGATTCCGGTAAAGGATTCGGATTTAAGGATTCGAATAAAAATTCAGATAAAGGGTTTGGATAAAGGATTAAAATGAGGATACGGATAAAGGATTCGTATTTAAGGATTCGAATAAAGATTCGGATAAAGGATTCGGATCAAGGGTTTGGATAAAGGATTAAAATAAAGATTCGGGTAAAGGATTCGTATTTAAGGATTCGAATAAAAATTCGGATAAAGGATTCGGATAAAAGGTTTGGATAAAGGATTAAAATAAAGATTCGGATAAAGGATTCGTATTTAAGGATTCGAATAAAAATTCGGATAAAGGATTCGGATAAAGGGTTTGGATAAGGGATTAAAATAAAGATTCGGATAAAGGATTGGGATAAAAATATCAGAAGACCCGAAAAAGACAGGAGAGAACAATAGCTAAAACTTTGTATAGATAACAACCAAGATAAAAACATAAATGATAACTGCTCACCCCAAAAATGAATGTTTCATTAAACATTGATACAATTTCGTTAGGTTGGTTGCTCGCCATGTCACTATACACTCCACTTGACATTTTATTTTTAATCATTTCATCCCAAAATGTAAACCACATCATAACTGAACCTATCTACTCTTATTGTGGATAAAAAAAATTAAATAAATGTAAAATAAATTGATAATAAAAATTTCAGTGATTAGGAGGGGGGCATTAAAAGTATAGGATTGAAGTAGAATTTAAAAGTATCCAGAAGCATAATCCTAAACAGAAAACAAGTGATAAACCTCTGCTTCTGTTCAAAAGACCGGGGAGGAGTGTGAACCGGACGATAGGATTGATATTACATTAATTTATTTTTCTTTCACTTCGAGACGGCATCTGGAAAGATTACGAAATGGATTTAAATTTTAATATTATTTTTAATTTTTTTTTAAGTAAATGTTTACATCGCAATTCCTTTTTTTAAATTTTTTGTAGAATAAACAAAGTAACAAGCAAACAAATATTTTATTCCATTTTGTGGTTTTTGAGAAAGTGTAAAAAAAAAGAAAAAGAGAGAGAGAAAGCGAAAGAGAGAGAGAAAGTCAGAAAAGCAGAAGAAAGAGAGAGAAAGAAAGAGAGAGAGAGAAAGAAAGAGAGAGAGAAAGAAAAAAAGACAAAAAAACAGACAGAAAAAGACAGAAAAAAAAAAAAAAAGAGAGAGAAAGGAAAGAGAGAGAGAAAGTCAGAAAAGAAGAAGAAAGAGAAAGAAAGAGAGAGAGAGAAAGAAAGAGAACGAGCGAACGAAAAGAAAAAAGACAAAAAACAGACAAAAAAGTGAAAAAAAAGAAAAAGAGAGAAAGAAAGAGAGAAAGTCAGAAAAAAAAGAAGAGAAAGAAGAGAGAGAAAGAAAAAGAAAGAGAACGAGCGAGAAAGAAAAAAGACAAAGAAACAGACAGAAAAAGTGAAAAAAAAGAAAAAGAGAGAGAGAAAGCGAAAGAGAGAGAGAAAGTCAGAAAAGCAGAAGAAAGAGAGAGAAAGAAAGAGAGAGAGAGAAAGAAAGAGAGAGAGAGAGAAAGAAAGAGAACGAGCGAGAAAGAAAAAAGACAAAGAAACAGACAGAAAAAGTGAAAAAAAAGAAAGAGATAATATATGTAGGGGGTTTGTTGTTGACGAAGCACGTAAGAAAATAAGGTCATAAAAAATAGGATGCGCAAAATATTTTCTAGGAAAAAAAAGTTTTGATATTTCGTCACAAATAAAAAAAGCGAAATTTCGTTTTAGGTGATATAAATTGTTATTTAAGACAAGCTTAAAATCCGCCCTATCAGGCGGCAATTTAGATAGCTGCTGTAGAGGGCTCTTTGACTATGCCTTCGGCTTGTTCAGGAATTTGAAAGTCCCTAAGTCTTTGCATATTCTAGGCATTGGGAACTCTCCTGGCTGCCGTATGATCTGGGTTTTCATTTACACGGGGCTTTCTTTTCCTCGCTGCAGCCTTGTCTCCTTTGATTGCAATCTGGTTCTCTGTTAGCGGAGATTTCTTTTTGCGAGCCATACTGCTGCCGTATGCGATAAGCAACAATCGCATTTAAGTATTGCATTAATATTTAAGCTTAGCTTTTAAAAGTTCAACGATAATTTTTCTGTCGCCACTTAAAGACTATTTAACCTATGTAGCTCCTTATTTTCCGTATATGCAATTATTTCATTTCATCGGTGACTTTCGGTGGATTTCGCAATTAATTTCGATTATTCCCAAATTTATAAAAAATGTTTTCGTACAAAAAATTCGACGCAAAAAAAAAAATAACGTAAAAAATCGCCGAAAACAATTGGAGTAATGAAAACTTGAGAATCCAAAATTTCAGGATTACGAGTCTGGATCCGTCCTGGAATGGTTTTAATTTGCTCACGGAGTTGGTCTGATTCCAAAATAGTATAATAATATGTTGTGTTGGGTTACGGCCTCTAGGAGTAAAGCTGAAAAAGTGTGACACACTGACATTCACATTTACTTATATATTGGTCAAAATTCAGTAAATAAATGTGTCGGGCGACAAACTTATTGATCCACTTCCGTATATTTATAATAATAAATAAGTACATAAATAATAATAATAATAATAATAATAATAATAATAATAATAATAATAAAATGTGGCATATGGGAACATCAACAATCCCTGTTGTAGTTGGAGCCTAGGATTGGTTGGAAAAGATTGCAGTAGACCAATTGAAAGGATTCCTGGAAGTCCATGCCTCAAGGAGATACAAAAAATTGTTCTGACAAGTACAGCCCACACCTTACGAAGGGCTTTATCTATGTAATTTAATTAATTTCATGACGCCATTTCTAACCTTAGGTCCCTTGGCGAGACCCGGAAAGAAATGTGTAAACGCCAGAAATCAAAGAAAATAAAAATAATAATAATAATCCTATATTAAGAAATCCTTCAGATGTCCGCGCTGCTTTGGCTCAGCAAATATTCTGCGAAAAGTGCCATATGTTTGAGGTCGTAGGGAGGACACCCATAATGCAAAATCTCCAGTCGAAAACGAAAAATCATGCGAGAAAAGAAAATAATAATTGTCGACAATGACTCAGCTTAGATTTTTTTTTATTATCTATAAATTGTGATACCTATATGGGAATGGTAGTTTGGCTGAATGTTGGGAAAAGTTTTCTTTCTCTCGTTCTCTTTATAGATAGATAAAGAAATAGAGAAATGCGCATGCGTCAGTGAAAGTTTTTCGAATGACAATTTAAAAACTGAAATGTATTCGTGATTCATGAATGATTCATAATCTAACGAATGGCCTTTTGCCACCCTGATTAATCTCTACGTAATCGCCACATTTAAATTGCAGTGCACAAATTAAAACGCTGACAGAAATGGCAGCTCTGATATTTATGATTTTATATATGAAAAAATAATAATGCATTAATTGAGGCTTTACGAGTTACATTCAGTTTATGTGTGGTTGTCCGTGCACACACACATATGGTTGCACGGACACCCACATATATGGTTGCCTGTAAACACATATATATGGTTGCCCGGACTCGCACAAAAACACATATGCACACGCGCAGACAAGACCGTTGTGCACATGCGCACACACTGATTACTTGAATATAAAAAAAAGTAAAATAAAATCATACCATGAAAAAATTAAAAATACACGAAAAACGTAGAAAACATAAATCGACTAGATTCTTTATCTATCTATCTATCGGTCTGTTCATTATCTCTCTCTTTCTCTCTCTCTCTCTCTCTCTCTCTCTATATCTATATATATATATATATATATATATATATATATATATCTGGTCATCTTGGTCTATCTATCTATCTATCTATCTATCTATCTATCTATCTATCTATCTATCTATGTTCATATCTATCTGTTCATGTATCTATAGATAGATAGAAATTTATCTATTCCATCATCGTCTATTCATATGTATGTATGTATGTATGTATCTATCTATCTATCTATCTATCTATCTATCTATCTAAGTCTCTTCATTTCTAAGTGTATCTCTGTCTATCCCTCTATCTTGGTCTGTTCATTATGTCTCTCTCTCTCTCTCTCTCTCTCTCTCTTTTCTCTCTCTCTCTATATATATATATATATATTATAAATTGATTTATTTAAAATATTAAATATATATATTATAAATTGATTCATTTAAAATATTATAAATTGATTTATTTAAAATATTAAACCATATTTTAAATAAATCAATTTATAATATTAATGCTCTGTAAATTTACATTGAGCACTATTTTGTAAAAGTAAAAATATCTATAAGAACATCGGATTATATATCTTACTGTTCTTTCTTTATATATATATATATGTGTGTGTGTGTGTGTATGTGTGTGTTGTGTGTGTATATATATATATATATATATGTATATATATATATATTTCATCTTGGTCTGGTCATATCTATCTATCTATTTATCTATCTCTCTGTTCATGTATCTATAGATAGATAGATAGATAGATAGATAGATAGATAGATAGAAATGAATACGATGTGATTCATACAGCACACTCATATATAAGATTTTCAGGTGTGTGTGTGTGTGTTACATATTTTGATGTTATGTATAGCCATGATCACTCATGTTTTAACACAGAACATAGAAGAAAATTTAAGCATACTTGTTTAGGCATTGATCACGGGATATTTAATAGACTGATAGATAGATCTGAATAGGCTAACAATATATATATATATAGACACACACACACATATATATATATATATATAGAGAGAGAGAGAGAAGAGAATAAATATATATATATATATATATATATATATATATATATATATATATATATATATAGATAGATAGATAGATAGATAGATATGAATAGTGAGATAGATAGATAAATAGACAGATATGAATAAACTAACAATATTTATATCTATATCTATATCTATATATATATATATATATATATATATATATATATACATGATTTTCTCTGTGTGTGTGAGTGTGCTTGCGCATGTATCCCGTATTTTACAAGATAGATATTATATTCTGTAACGATTTGTGACCCGGAGATTATTATTGCACCAACCACTCAACCTCTGGGACCTGTTTTGCGTTCTGAATTCTGTGACAGGCATCGCCTTTATCGCTACAGTAGCCCGATACATTAAATGAAAGCCTCTTTTCTTATTGGCAAGATCGAACGGAAATTCAACGGTAGATGGATCTGCCCAAGCAGGCAATTTCAGTTACAGACCTGAACTTCAATAGAACTGAGTGTTTGTTTGACATATCTGAGGCCGTCAGACCCTAGGTGAACGGAAACACCCCGATGATACCCGGGTTCAATGGATTGTCTTTTTCTTCTTCTTTTTTTTTATCAATGTCGCCTTTTGTTTCTGTGTCTTAGTATAAAAATTTCGACTCAACCTAATTTCACTTCGCAGTCAGATTGTATGCACATACACAGATAAAGAGAGTTCGATCTTCAACTTGTCTTTACAACACACTAATCTCGGCTTAGTAATGTTATTCTCGTCTGTGCAGGTAACGTCACCATTATCAGCAAAGAAAGTGGAACGAGCGAGCTGAGTTCAAACTCCAGCCTATGCGGCTGCGTTTACTTTTCCACTGATAGGAGGAGAATTAATCAATAATTATACATAAAATAGTAGGGTAGACACTGCTCTCATAACCGTGGGTGGTAATAAAAGAACAATTCTAATAATAAAAAAACAATTCTGATGTCAAAACCGCGGTAACAAGTGAACGTAAATGATGCAGAAATAGAATCTGGGGAGAGTCATGATCAACAAAGGAATTAAAAAAAATAATAGATGTATATATGTTATTTAAAAGTTAATTTTAATGGATTCTCGTATTTTGGAAGACGCTCCGTTTATTTATTAAGCAGTATATTTATTCTACTTTCGTCTACAGGCCTGAATATTCGAGAAATCTTAGAGAAAATTATGCTTTCTCCGATTCAAAAGCACGGCAGATCTAATGACGGTTTTTACCCCTCGCGAAACGCAGGTTCAAATCCTGCCGGAGACAACATATTTTTCTCTAATAAGATTTCGAATGGTAGACAAAAATAAATAAATATACTGTTTCATAAATAAGCGGAACGTCTACTGAAAGTCGAGTATCCACTAAAAATGATGTTTAACTAATAAAAATCTGTAGGAAATCGATTCTCTTTGTTTATATATATATATATATATATATATATATATATATATATATAAAAAATATGATTCCATCGCTACATAAGAGTTCTCATGTTTCAAAGCAAGAGCCGAAAACTTCTTATGTAGCGATGGAATCATATTTTTAAATAAATAATTATATAATAATAATTATATTTATGCTCTACTTTTGTATCGAGAACTATTTTTAAAAAATAATAACAAAAATACTAAAGAACTTTGGATTATTTACCTAACGAGTTCTTTCCTATTTTCTATATATTTTTACACACACACACACACACACATATATATATATATATATATATATATATATATATAAAAAAAAAAAAAATATACACTGGTTCAAAATAGCGCATATTTTTTTCTTCATTGGTAACACAACTTTGAGTTTCATGCAATCGTCAGGTACTGATTAAAAACTAACCATTGTCAAGTTCAAATATTGATATTTATTTGATGATGATTGTTTAAACATGGCTTATACGTGGTACAAGTTTGGGGCACCAGGTGCGGATCGAACTCACTATTCAGCTGTAATTGATCTAGCGAGACAAGCTTGCTAACCATTACACCATGTTGAAGTGTCCAATAGCGTATTGTTATGATGGCGGATCAACTAAAACAAACTATATGCACTTCCATATATCTAAATACAAGCATATATAATTTAAATGTAACTGATTTATACTAGTATCTGTCTATATTTCTGAGATGAGGTATTATGTACACTATTTACATTAATCGGACTATTATCCTCATCTTTTGTCCTTGAGAACACATGGCACAGTGGATAAAGGCATTAGTTAGATTCAGTAACAGGACCCAAAGAGTGTGAGTTCAATACCCGGTTAAGGCAGTGGAGAACTTGGAGAGGGGAATTAACAGGAGATAACTGATAACTGACATCCATTAAACATGGCACGTAGAACTAGAACAGTCTACTCCAGGGAGCGAAATAAAGGGTTCAGTTCGACATTCCAACCACCTGAAGAAGGCCGGAGCGTACAACGGCCGAAGCGTTGTAATAAATATGGAGACAAAGATGAGGACAATAGTCCGAATAATGTAAATAGTGAGTTGTACTGCTTGCATTTTGGAAAACTTCTGTTTAGAAGATTGCCGACACCAGAAAAAAAAACGTATTTTACTTCAAGAAATTATTGGAATGAAATTAACGAAAATAAAATGTTGAAACAAAAATTCTTTTAATGATGACGCTCGTTCGTCGGCGAAACATATCAAAATAAAACTTTCCCAAATTGTCGTATATATTTACCATTCTGTTGAATTCTCATTCAAACTTTAGTTATATATTGGAAAACGATATATAAATTTTTATATATCAAGAACAACTTAGGAATATCTATGATAAAGTGGAATTTCTTTTTTTTTTTTTTTTTACGTTTGACGCGTTCCATCCTTCCGGACGTCATTGGACTAAAGTGATGTTTATATTTGATGCGGACTATACATGTGCATGAAGCAAGTGGGGGAAGGGCATGCTGAAATATTTAAATTTTAAATTAAGTTAAAAATTTTAATATGTTTAACCGATTTCATTTAGTTTCTTTTTGCTTGTGTTTTTACCAGTTTTGTTATTGCGCATGCGCATGCGCATGTGTCATTGCATTTTGTCATTAAATATACCACAATGTCTTAATAGATCTGCCAAGTGTTGTAAGAACCTGGATGTGAACATGCTGTTGATGATCTAGTAGTTACTCTCTCTCTCTCTCTCTCTCTCTCTCTCTCTCTCTCTCTCACACACACACACACACACACACACACACACACACACACACACACATATATATATGTTGTCAGACAGACTGTTTCACAGTATCACAGCTCATCAGTGTGGCTAGAAATCCGATTGCTTCAAGTCGGGATCGAAACCCAAATGATATGGCATCAGTCGGAGATTTTACCCCTGAGCTATTTTACGTACCTATTCTGCGAATAAACACGCCAATGACCGAGAGGGCTCAATTCATAGAAGAGCTTTGCAGTATTAGCAGTAGTAGTCATTGTTTACAAATTCGCGCTTCCCGTCAGAGTGCTCGACCGGTATTAAATTTTGCAGGTGCGTATATATATATATATATATATATATATATATATATATACAAATCAAATGAAGAGCCTTCTCACTCCTGTTGGAGGAACTCTTCCCTGATTGACAATGCGGATTGGTGAGGCTATTTAACTCATAGTTAATTCAGTTGTACCAGTCTATCCTACTATTCGCCCATAATTGGGAAAGATGAAGAAAAGATGGACTCATGCCTTCGTAAGTAAATACGTAAGTAAATATATCGAACTCGGCTCTCCGATTCCACAGTTCAATCCGCCATCCATTACTCCACGCCTCATATCCATATAATGTGTAACTATTTATATATAGTCATTTATAAATGTTCATATGTGTGCAGATATGTTACAATACAGTATTTGTTTGTGTACACGCGGATGTGC